GAAAAAGTAGATTTACATACCCAAGTTGTTCCAAACATGTGTAAAAGTTTTCCAATAACTGAATCAACTATTGGTTTTTAAGTTAAAATTAGTAAAATTAAAAATTCAGTTCCTTAACCACAGTAACCACATTTCAAGCGCTCCATAGCCACATGTGGCTAGTGCTACCATATTGGACAGAGCAGAAGGAAACTTTCCACCATTGCGGAAAGTTGTACGGGAAAGCACAGATTGTATCTGTCGGTGAGGACTGGGCATTCATTAGCACCCCTTTGGAAGACAGAACCTTCAAAGATAATGGGCACATACATCTACAACAGCCTCACCATTTCCCTTTATTAAGCCTAAACCCATGCAGCAGGCTTTTGGTACTGTTTTGGTTTCCCAAGATCTTCTCACTGGGAAGAAAATAAGCTAACCGGCTGAGACAAATATCCAGTCTGCTTGGCTGTTAAATTTTTCTCTGTAAATGAATAAAGATGAATTTTGAATCGTTGTCCAAGGATTCCTGAGTGAACTGTCAACATCAAGTACTATCACCTTGTGAGGTCTCATGCAAACTACCAGCTCCTCGCACTTTATGCCTGGCAACACCTATCTGCAAAGAGCAAACATGGATTTCCAGGCGTAACAATGACAATTACAAAATTAAACAAGCCACCAGGCCAGCGAGGCTCCTGCTTGCTCCTCTTCCTCAGGGGTTCCCAGTCACAGGGAGAGCGCCCACCAGAAGAGAGGGACTGGGGAGCAGATGTGTAATTGGGGTGTCTGGCCCAGCAGGCCTAGGCACCAGGCCCCCAGCCGCCAGTCTGGCAGGTGCCACCCCTCTTCACACAGTCTCTCCTACACCCTCTCTTCTCTACTCCCCATTTGGCTGCAAGCTCAGCTGGAGATTTCTCTCTCTAAGAATCTTTGTAAATTTCTACGGAAACTAATTTTGCCCTTCCTCTCCACTCTGGGCAATGAATAACACTCACACCCTCACTTATCTTTTGCATCTGATACTTTAACACAACAGATATGAAAGAGCCCAATTCTCTTCACTTTTCCTTTAGAAATGTGAGCTCCTTGGAAGCAAGCACCAAACGTTATCTTCTTGGGTTTTTTTTTTAATTCCTTAAAATTTTCTAGATGGTTTCTCATCCATTCTATTCAGTAACATAGGAGTTTGTTGCTTTTTGTGTAATAATTGCTAACATCAAGTGAGCATTTACTAAATGCCAAGCACTTCACATGGATTCTCTCCTTTAATTCTCATACCCACCCTATGAGGTAGGTATTATTATTTGCATCATTTTGCAAATCAGGAAACTGAGGCTCAGAGAGGTTAAATAACTTATTCAAGATCACACAGCTAGTAAGAGGCAGTCAGGAACTAAACTCAGTCCTAAGCTAGAGTTTAACCGGTGTGCGACACTGCTTTCCTAGCATGTCTTGCTACTGTATCTTTTTATCTATTGTTTTAAGTCTCTGGTGAGTTTACACTTGGTCTAAGAGAGAAAGGTAGACCCTGCCAAACACTAACTGTGCCTCATTGTTTTAGCAATAAAGTCCTCAAGGCGGCTAACCATGACCCAGGCTAGAGCAACAGATATCGAGCCGCAGGGCAGCAATCTGGCGCACACGCCTGCCTAGCTTCCTCTAGGGCTCACAATCTCAGCGTTCAACCTGGGCGTGCCTATCAGTCCTGCCACCTGCTACACTCCCGTCGCTCACCCCCGATTTCTGGCAGGATTGAGGCTCAGCCCAAGGGGAAGACAGGAGGCTGCGCTCCCTTGTGGAATCCAGTTCTCCCATTTTAGACAGGACCAAACTGGTACTTGGGCGAATCACGCTCAGGGACACAGAACGAGTTAGTCCCAGTCCACAGTCTCACTGAGCATAGTAACTGCTTCATCCCCAAAGCGGACAAACACAAAGCTCCTCACACAGCGACCCCGACCGCGACATCTGGGCCCTCAGATACAACCAAACGAAGCCCCAGAATACGGCAGGAACCCGGGAGGTGGTGTCGCCGTCCGCGACTCCGCCCCGCCGCCTCCGCCCGCGCTGTGGCTCTAAGCCCCGCCCCTCGGGGGCCGCAGCCAATCGTTGAGCCGCGATCCCGCCGCGCGTGCCGCCCCCACCTTCCTGCCGGGCGTGCCCCCGCCGGCAGTGACGTGCCCCGCCCCGCAGCCGCGGGATTCAAACTCCCGGAAGCGGAGTCCGCGCCTGAGGGTGTGAGTGGGCCGACGCTAGCGCGGAGCTTCGCCTCCGGTGCTGGCTGGCTGTGGGGAGGCGACCACGGAGGGCGGCGAGGGGCGGCCAGAGCCCTTCGCCCCGGGGTCGGGCGGGCCGTACCGCGAGGGAGGCGGTGTCGTGGGCAGATCGCGTCCGCTTGGGCTCAATCTCTGCCCGCCCTGATATAAGTACCCTTCCCTGGCGCTCACGTCGAGCCTGGCTCCGGGCCGGGCGCATCACGGCCGTCGTCGTTTCGATCCCTCCTTTCAGCTTCGCGGTGGGTATTATCATCCCTTTTCAGACGGGCGCCCAGAGACCCAGTGACTTGGCCAAGATTTTTTGTTAGTACCGCATCTTTCCGGTTAGCAAGCGCTTTCATGCCTGTTCTGCAAACATCTTCATTTTAGAGGCGAGAAAAAAGTGCGTCTTTTTGCAGTTTTCTTTGCCCGTCAGCCTCCCCATGTGAGATCTTACTTCTGTGAAGGTTGTTGTAAGATTTACCTCCACTTGTAGACGACGTGGCTTTTAATAGATGCCTTGTGCAGTTTGCTGGATTGAAATGTTTCTTTGGTCACCTGTCCAGCCTGTCTTAGATCACTTGAACCAATCAATAAGTATTTTTTGAGCATCTGCTCTTAGGCTCTGTGAGTGACAAAAATAATTCAAGGGTCAGCGCCTGAAACAGTTGTTGAACAAATACAGAAAGCGTGGGGGTAACAGGTGAGTACCAGATTGTGCCCTGGGGACTGCATATGGCTGATTCGAGTTCGCAGAGGGAAGGCTTCCTGAAGAAGGGGCAGCTGGGCCGGGTGCAGTTTGAACAGTGTGAACCTGTGAATACTGGCCTGACGAATGGAAAATACAGGAAAAGGAGGTTGGTAGGCCTAAGTGGTGGGGAGCCGGGGGACCGCGGCAGAGTCTAGGCCAGAAGCTGGAAACAAAGATCGTTCTCTGCGGAAGTTCTGTCCGGAGGTCAGGAAGCAGATGTCCGGAGATTCCTTCCAGTTCTGTGATCTATACCGTTCCACCAGTCTGTGTTTCAATGACTTGGTTGAAAAGTAGTTTTCTGCCATATCAACCCATTATGTCGCATCACAGTGCTGTATTAACAGAAGCAGGTAGGAAAGAACTTTCTGTGGCGGCAGATTCTGGAGACACCATAATCTTGCATGAGCATCAACTGATTTAGTAGTTATCTTAGTCTCGCACCTTAGAACGGGCAGAAACCCAGGAGCAACCTTTTGATAGATGGTCTGTTCGACTCAGTCTACACAGTTCTAGTCTTTTCAGGCTCTATGCTTACAGGATGACCCTAAAAGTCACTTCCACAGAGAGGCCTACCCTCACCACCTTGTCTAAGTAGGTCTCTCCTATTTTTACTGCTGTCATTTATCACTGTACTCTTCATTTCCTGTATAGCATTTATTTTACAACTTAAGAATCTGTATTTGTTTCCTTGTTATTGCTTATCTCCTTTAGTAGATTGAAAGTTCCATTATGTAAGGGAGCGTGTCCCTCTCTCTTTCTTTTTTCTTTTTTTTTACTAGTTTATACCCAGTTATGCTGCCTGGTAAATTGTAGGCTCTCCAATATTTTTTGAATGCATGAATGGTCTCATATTCTAGATTTTCTAGTCACACCACCATTATTTTATCTCAGGATCCATAAGGTGGAAAAATGCTTTTTATCCTCCCTAATTAAAGCTACTTTTATTATATGTACTGTACGTTACACTGTATATTTTCCTCCTAGAGTTTATATTATGCACTTGCTTCTAAACTGTCATCTAATACTGTTAGCAGATACTCAGCTTCTCCTAACTTAATTTGGCTCCTTCTTCGTCATTCCTGTCATTCCTGAATTCCTTGAATATTGTGCCTCTTTTTCCCTATAAATGTCTCACCTTGGATTCTCCTCACTTCTGCCCTCTGTGGTCTCTCCACTGACAATTAGGATAGATCTGAACTAGGCCTATCTTATAAAACAGAAGACATACCATTATGTCAGGTAATGACATCTCAGTGCCTATGTACTCAGAATTATATTATTTACCACTAGCTTTTTATTCCTGGGTAAAACATGTCTTTGATTGTGATCTGCTTCTTTCAGGCTTCATTAATCGTTTAATTGTTAGTTACCCCTCCATTTTTTTTTTTTTGTGTGAGGAAGATCAGCCCTGAGCTAACATCCATGCCAACCCTCCTCCTTTTGCTGAGGAAGACCGGCTCTGAGCTAACATCTATTGCCAATACTCCTCCTTTTTGTTTTTTCCCCCAAAGCCCCAGTAGGTAGTTGTGTGTCATAGTTGCACATCCTTCCAGTTGCGTATGTGGGACACGGCCTCAGCATGGCCAGAGAAGCGATGCGTCGGTGCGCGCCGGGGATCCAAACGCGGGCTGCCAGTAGCGGAGCGCGGGCACCCAACTGCTAAGCCACGGGGCCGGTCCACCCCTCCATTTTTTTAAAACAAAACTTTTTTATTGAAATATGACACACATTCAGAATCCTGCACAAAACATAAGTGTACAAGTTGACCTGTTTTTAAAAAGTGAATACTCCCCATGTATCTACCACCCAGATTTAAAAATATATTGTTACTAGCAAGCCAAAAGCCTTCCCCAGGCCCTCTCCCATACCCCACTGGTTTGGCTATCTCACTTCTATTTAGATAGAAAGTTTCTTCTATTTAGCAGGCAGGTTATTAGACCTTTTCCAACCTGAGATTTGATTTTTTAAAACTCAGACTTATAAAATATAATTGTGTTTTTATTTTTACAGATAATTTCAGAGATGTCTTCCAGAAGTCCCAAAGATTTAATTAAAAGTAAATGGGGATCAAAGCCTAGTAACTCCAAATCAGAAACTGCATTAGAAAAATTTAGAGGAGAAATTGCAGCTTTAAAAACATCAGTGGATGAAATCACAAATGGAAAAGGAAAGCTGGCTGATAAAGACAGACACAGACTTTGGGAGGTAAATGGCCTTATAAATCCTTTAAATTATAGTAAGCTGTACTGTAGGAGATGAGGAAGTGTTTTCCCAATAATGATAATACTCTCGTTTTTCTGTTAGTTCGCTAAAAGTAAAAAATCAAATCTTATCATTTCATAGTGTTAAATGGAGTTCAGATTTTAATGTAAATGTTTAAAAACCCATTTTATCATGTATGTTGGCTGCTTTCCAAGTAATCTTTGTTTTCAGGGTTTTTGATGTAACATCATTACATATATTGGCATTTTGTGTTCTGTTAAATTATATTTCAGGTTCCCTAATTTATAATTTGTTATGGTATAGTCAGTAAAGCAGTTAGAAATTTATTAGAACTGGAAGGATTTGAGAATTTAATCTTTAATTTAATTTTAATTTATTTTGCAGAAGTACTTTTATTGTTCATATTTAGAAAATAAATGACCTGTATTAAATAGTATCATTGGATTTCTTTAAATTCTGTTTTATAAGCACATCATAAAACTGAATGATTTATTGTTTTTTTAACAGCACAAATTGAGGTAAATACTTATTCAAGCACTTAGAAATGATCCATCATCAATTCTTAGACATAAAGATTATTTTGCAATCTGGTGAAGAAATCTAAATGCTTCCCTGAGAGATCTCTTTCCAGTTCATTCCACTTTTGACCAGCACTGGGGTCAAAACTCTGTTCCTTTATAATCAGTTGAAATTAAACTTCCTGTAACTTCTACCATTTTGTTTCCAGTTGTACTCATAAAGCTACATAGAACAAGTCTATTTTTTATCCAATTGACAACTTTTCAGATTTGAGAAAATCCTACTTCCTCTTACTTTTCTGTAGACTAACCCCATATTCTTCAGCTTTTGTGGCGTCTTATCCCTGGTCACTTTCCTGCACACTTTGTCGTGTGTCCATATCTCTTCTGAATTGTGCACCCACTATGGCACACAGTGGCAAACACGGGTTGAAATGGTAGGGTTATTTCCCCTAATCTGTGTGTTTTGTCTATGAAAGCCTAAAATTGTATCTGCTCTTTTTGTAAGTCTTTTATACTATTTCCTTAAGCTTATGGCCAACCAAAATCCTGTCATCATTTTCACACAACCATCCAACTCAATTTCCCCATTTTATATTTGAACAACTGCTTCTTTCCTCCCTAAATGCAAGTTTTTAGTCTTAAGTTATTCTTCCTTGTTAGCCTGTAAAGTCATTCTGTTAACTTTTTCTATCACCTCTCTGTCATCTCTCTATGCCAGCAGCAGTTTAACAATTGTGGCTTCTTTATCTTTCAAATCCTTGAAAACGTTGAACGCTCCTTCTAGATTTGATACCAAATCGTTCATTAGCAAAAAGCAAGTTAACGAATGCATTTTTATCCAGCTGTAATGTTCTGTAATTTTTAAGTTCTGTTGTTTCAAGTTCATCATGAGGGTGTATCTCTGTGTGACTCACTTTTAGCCTTTAAGGTTATTAGAACCAGTACGATGGAGGGATGATTATCAGATAACTCATGTGAGGGCCAGCTTTTCTTTAGCTTTCTCTCACCACTCTCGACAGAGTTGGTTTCTCCTTTCTGTGTCCGTGTCCCATTCATTTTATATATATCTTAACTATAGCACTTACCACATTGCATTCATGTATTGGTTTACCTCTCTATGAGCCCTCTGAACCTAAGACCTTGGCTTCATCTTCTTTTTGGCCCTAATATCTAATGTAATGCTGACTTGACAGTTAATAAACACTTCACAAATGCTTGTTGTAGTGTATTGTTTACTTTCATGTTTGACCTGGCTTTGTTCTAAGATTCTTCTTAGTTTATATCTAGAAAATTCGAGTCCTTGAAGCTGAGAGGGAGAAGAATGCTTATCACCTCACAGAGAGGGACAAAGAAATACAGCGACTCAGAGACCAGCTGAAGACCAAACACAGCACTACTGCATTGCTTGAACAGCTGGAGGAGAAAACAAAGGAAGGTGAAAGGCGGGAACAGCTGTTGAAATCCTTGTCTGAAGAGACAGATGTATTGAAAAAACAGTTGTCTGCTGCAACTGCAAGACTTACAGAACTGGAAAGCAAAGCCAGCTCACTTCATTTATCACAGGTACTAATCATTTATTTAAACCCATGGGGCCGGCCTGGTGGCGCAAGCGGTTAAGTGCGGGTGCTCCGCTGCGGCGGGCCGGGATTCCCCGGTTCGGATCCCGGGCATGCACCTATGTACCGCTTGTCCAGCCATGCTGTGGCGGCGTCCCATATAAAGTGGAGGAAGATGGGCATGGATGTTAGCCCAGGGCCAGTCTTCCTCAGCAAAAAGAGGAGGATTG